TTCTCAGATCTTTGACTGAGTTGAAGATTATATAATTGTAGTTACTCTTTACATTATTTGGACTTCTTGAGATAGAATGTTTAGCAAAGCTTTTGTTCTCAATATTGTTTGTTGTATTTATTATTTGTTGTTATTGTATGTAGTTGTATTTGGTTTATTTCTGTCTTATTTAGACAAAAAGGGGAGATGTAGGGATAAGTCCCGCCCCTTAAGGGGCGTGTTCGCCTCGGGCTAATGTCTGCCTATAAATTTGGCGAGCAAGCTCCGAGCTCTCGCTTCTGCTTTCTTGGTCTCCGCGGGAACGGTGGTTCTGTACGTCTATTTCTACATTAAAGCTATATATATATATATTTTTACTCTCTGTCTGCATTCGTTTACGCCGCTACAGGTTCTCCATGGCCTCCATGAACAGGACAATAAATGATCAATAGATAGCCTTTGTTCCTATGGACCTCACTGATCTTGTATAGAAATGAGAGAAATAATCCCCCTTTTGGTCCCTGTAATGACATTAGAATAGCCTCTAAGAATGATTATTAAACACTAGAAGATCAGTTTTATACTAGTTTTGTACTTTTAACTACTTTATAATACTTCAGGAGTCAGACACAACTCAATAAACTTTCTTTGGCATACCTTTCAACCACTCCTTGAAATAGTTGGAATCTGACCTTGCAAACTTTAATAAATAAATGATTCCTAAGTCTCATCCTTATGTACCTTAAACAACTTACTCAGACCTTCATAGCTTGTAAGACCTTTCCAGTCTTCTTTATTCTGGAGCCATCTAGTCTTAATCTTGGTCATACATCTAAGTCCTTTTTTACTATGGTCATTTACATATTTATGTTCTTCTAGCATGTTCTTTTATGTACTTCTCCCTTTTTGCTAATATCATAATTACATAGGAACATTAACAAATATGTTTATGATCTGTTGTGAGAATTTTCTCCCCCATGGAAGGGGCAGAAGCAATTTCTATCCCATAACCATAATTCCCAATGAAGATACAAAGTACAATTTCACCAAAGTCCATCCTGGGGACCAACCAGTGAGTTTATTGAGCTTACTTACTGAGCATGGTTGAAAAGGTACATACAAGGGGTTTTGATTCTGTGGTTGTTTGAATCAAAATGACCCCCAAAATCCCATGGAGAGGCACTATTAGGAGGTGTGGCCTTGTTGAACTATGAAATAATCACTTTCTGCTGCCTGCTGATCTGGATGTAGAACACTCAGCTCTTTCTCCATGCTTTCTGCCATGATGATAATGGACTAAATCCTCTGAAACTGTAAGCCAGGCCAAATCAAATATTTTCCCTTATAAGTGTTGCTGTGGTCATGGTGTCTCTTCATAGCAATAGAAGCTCTAACTAAGATACACAGAAGCAGCACAAGGCATGTCTCCATCCAGTATATACAATGGCTCTCCCATAGCTGCATATGTGGAGCTTACCTTCTCTCTACACTTCCACTGCCCATATACTCTCCATTACAATATTTTTCTCAGTGGACATAGGATGTAAGTAAGCCTTATAGCACTCAAGGTAAATTCCCACTTTTTTTTTTTTTTGGTTTTTTGAGACAGGGTTTCTCTGTGGTTTTGGAGCCTGTCCTGGGACTAGCTCTCGTAGACCAGGCTGGTCTTGAACTCACAGAGATCTGCCTGCCTCTGCCTCCCAAGTGCTGGAATTAAAGGCGTGCGCCGCCACCGCCCGGCTTAAATTCCCACTTTCAAAGATGTATTTCTCATAGGTGCTAACACAGAATCAAGATCCACTCAAATGGTTCCCTGGCTACATACTCTAGCTCATTCTTAAAACCACAAGGTCCCATGTCATTAGGGATGAATTGCATATAGTTGCCTGGAAAAGAGGCTGTGTACTAAGATCGAATGGGATGCTTTTTTCTTGATGGAATATCAACATTCAGCAAAACTGATGGTGGTCATCCTTTGTAAGCAGCCATGGGTGATCATGGGATGATACCAAATGTTTGTCTTAAGATAGTGCTGAGCAACAACAAATGAAAGAAAGCTGAATAGAAACTGTATATGATAATGTAATAAATTTGTTTTTCCTCAACTAAACATTAGGTAAACACAAGGCATTATTCATATGATCCATGGCATCACTACTATAACCATGTTTTTGGGTTTTAATGTAAGTATGTAGTTGATTCCAAGAAATAGCAAATACATAAGAAAATATCATGTAATTGATGCTTACAGCATCCAGTACAACACAACTAAGAAATCCCTCTTAAAACTATGATGCTCCAGCTTACTCTAGAGAGTTACACAGGCAGCCTCTTTATCCATTCTATAAGTGAGTATCTCATTTGCTCTTTTCACTACAGACATGTATAAATAAACGTTAAATAAATATTTACATTTGAGCATCCAAATCTTTAATAGTCCTGATTAACATACTACTTGTCTTTGGGGTATTTCTGAGGCAGCCCTCCCTCAGCTAAATTCTACTTGGTGTGACTAACTCTCTCCTAAGCATTGGTCAATCCTTTATATCACCAATTCTAGTCTTCTACATTGCGACTTAGTACTGGAGTACTGCTCAGTACATGAGATGCCATTTACAACTTCCACAAATTAACTCCAAATGGACCTTCACTTAAATGTCAAATGCTAAGTGCAGAACTTCTAGAAAATACTTGAAACTAGGCGTCTCTGACTTTGGCAACCTGCCTAGGCTTTGGGAGGTTTCTCTAAGGCAATGATGTATAGAGAAACAGCAGAGCACTGTCTCTAATATCAGGAATATGCATGGGAGAGCTGGTAAAGATGTGGGGCCAGGGCCTTTGGAAAAGGGTTGTTTCAGATCCTCAAAACCCTAGACTTTTCACAGAAGGATGAAAACTGTGGTTATCAATTCTAGCACCACTGTGGACTTTGTTTATTATGTTCTTGATTTACCCAATATTCCTCTTGTGCAACATTGCCTGATTAGCCTCTTTCTGAATTTGTATACTTCCTTTTAAAACCAAACTCATTGATTTACCTTTGCAGGAGACTTGCTGTTGAATTTGATGTAAATCTCCAGCCAATCTGATATATACCTGTCTTTATATTTGCAGCCAGTGCTGGGAATTCTGTGCTGTTTCCCTTCTGCTCACATGGTTTTGATACTTAGACCTCACTAACTAATCAGAGCCTCTAGATGACCCGACAGTCAAATGGGAGGGTTCTGGGAGCCAGCCTTCCAGTTTAGCCCTTCCTGAAGAAATCAGTCTCTTTCATGCACTGCGCCTTGGGCTCCCATGTGTGGAGAGAAGGTGTCTGCTCAGCAGCTTCTCCATGGTGAGTGTGGGGTTGCTTTCCACGTAGGGGAGGTGTGGTGGCCCAAGGTGTGTAAGAAGCTGCTGTCACCATGTGTGGAGGAGTGACTGGGCTTGGTGAGTGAGGGGCCGCTGTCCTCAAACTAAGTAGAGCGGCCTGCTGAGGCTTGTGGGTGGTGTGGTGGGTCCTCCCCTGGCTAGGTGGGAGGCAGTGGACAAACCCAGAGTTTAGTGTGTTCCTGCCTCATCCTAAGTAGCCCTAAGTGATCCTTGCAACTCCCTGCTGTCAGTCTCTAAATCTTCACTGCCTGGGGTGTGTCTGCACAGAGCAGAGCTTTGGGATCCACAGATGGTGGTGCCTGTAGTGCTTATGTTGTTGCATGTGGAGCCAAATTTTTCAAATTCGGAGACTACTGGTATCTCCAGTCTCTTCAGAAGTGCTACACTTTTAACATTTATGTTTAGAATCCATCTGCAGTTAATTTCGTGGAGCTCATAAATGGTTTCTCCTTTGTAGAGTATCACTCCACTGCTAAACTGTGAATTAGGGGAGCATAATTGATAATAAAATTAATGGTATAAGAATTTACCAGTTCTTAGGAGACATTAAGTCACACAAAGTAGAATTTAAGTGAGGGAGGGCTGCATCCCAAATTCCCCAAAGATAAGTAGTATGCTAGCCATGCCTGTTAGAGATTATTTTCATGAGATGCAAATGTTTGTTCACCAGGATTAATATACCAGTAAGGTACATTCCTATAACAAATTAAAGAACCGTTATTTACAACCAGCCAAAAGACCTACTTTCTCATCAAAGACCTCTAACATGGTGCCCAAGGGGCCATTACAGGCTCAGAACCTGTGTGCCCTGAAAGTATAATAATTCTAGTACAGCTTCATTTTTCAGTTTTTAAAAAAGCAGTGTACAGTCAATGTCCCCTATACAGATTGAGGTGACTTGAATTCTGTCTGTAACCCCACAGAGCATTGCCTTTGCTATCCTCTTGGTTAACCACCATGAATTTTTGGATTACAAAAATGCTGCACCACAGAGTTCTAAAATTACCAGTTTGATTCATATTTGGGTTGTCCATTGCAATAACAATAAAAGGATTTGTGTGTGGATCATGGCTTCTCCCTTCAGACCAGAAGAGTAGGAACAGTGTACTGTGTACACTGGAAGGGGGAAAAACTGGACAATAACGAGATCACAGAATGAAGTTTAAGGGAGTGAGCTTCAGGGTTATCCATTACAAAGATGATTGGGCACAGTGTGTGACTTTCTGTGTAATTTCCCATCATACATTATTTCTTGCACATGAATGAAGACAGACACTCGTGGGTGTACAGTTGAGGGAGGATAGCTTGAACTACTACATGTTTAGTTTCCAATTAGTGAACTCTCCCATGCAGATATGTTCACTCCTGGTTGACACAGTTAAGTCAGCTCAGTTGTTTGAGACATAGGCCATTGGCTAACATTTTACATGGGACAAAGTCATGCATTCTCTTATTAATGGTATTCTCCCTATCAGGGAAGTGCCCACTCTGTTTCAAAGTCAGTATAACTAAGTGTTCAATTATTTTTTTATCATTTTAAGAAGTCGAGCTCCGGGCTGTGCGCGGAGGGTGCGGAGGGAAGTCCCGAGACAAAGGAGCGCCACCGCCTCTGCAGCCGCAACAGTCCCGGCCGTGGTCGCCTAGGGACTTTGAATATGTCGGGGATTGCCCTCAGCCGACTTGCCCAGGAAAGGAAAGCTTGGAGGAAGGACCACCCTTTTGGCTTTGTGCCTGTCTCAACAAAGACCCCTGATGGCACGATGAACCTGATGAATTGGGAGTGCGCTATCCCTGGAAAGAAGGGGACTCCATGGGAAGGAGGCTTGTTCAAACTGCGGATGCTTTTCAAAGATGACTATCCGTTCTCGCTACCAAAATGTAAATTTGAGCCACCACTGTTTCACCCAAACATGTATCCTTCTGGCACAGTGTGCCTGTCCATCCTGGAGGAAGACAAGGACTGGAGGCCAGCTATCATGATCAAACAGATCTTATTAGGAATACAAGAACTTCTTAATGAACCAAATATCCAAGACCCAGCTCAAGCAGAGGCCTACACAATTTACTGCCAAAACAGAGTGGAGTATGAGAAAAGGGTTCGAGCACAAGCGAAGAAGTTTGCCCCCTCATAAGCAGTGGCCCTTTGGCTCCATGACGAGGAAGGGATTGGCTTGGCAAGAACTTGTTCACACCTTTTGCAGATCTAAGTCGCTGCATACAGTTACTAGTCGCCTGGGAGGGTTGAGCAGGCGCCATTTTCCATTTCCGCCACTGGCATATACAGTCTCAATTCACTGAATTGCCCCAGTTTTTCATACAGGGTCTCTTCCTTCAGGCTTTTGTATTTTTGATTGTTATGTAAAACTTGCTTTTATTTTAATATTGATGTCAGTATTTCAACTGCTGTAAAATGATAAACTTTTGTACTTGGTAAGCCCCTAGGAGCTAGTTTCTTCGCGTTTGGATGCAGGCATGCTTCCCACTGTTCAGAGCTCTGGCCTCCAGCTGGCTGTATGACAGAACCACACTGTCCCTCCCTCCCCACCCTCAACCTCCTCAGAAACCTGGGCTGTAGTTTATGAGCCTCAGATCCAAAGTTGGCCAGCGTCTCCATTCTGCACCACTTCCTTTGTGTTTATATGGCATTTTGTCTGTGTTGCTGTTTAGAGTAAATAAACTTTATATAAAAAAATAAAATAAAAAAGAAGTCAATTATTGGTTATCATATTTTAGATTTCATTTTATTCAAAGGCATTATTGCTATAATTTCTTTGTTTTTATTTTCCAATGTTTCCCAGTTTTTGAATTTCATTCTGTTTTTAAGTGCTGTTTATTTATTCATCTATTTATTTCAACCTGGTGGGCCATGACTCTTTTTAGGGGGATCAAATGAACCTATCACAGTACTGGCCTAATACCAGCAGAAAGTACAGATATTTAAATTATAATTCATAACAGCAAAATATAGTTATGAAGTAGCAGCAAAAATAATTTTATAGGTGGGGGTCACTACATCATGAGTAACTGTATTAAAGAGTCACAGCACTAGGAAGATTAAGAAAACTGATTTAGATCAATGTCACCTATAGCTCAGGCTTACATCATACTATGTAACTGAGAATTTCTGTGAACAGCTAATCCTGCCCTTGGTTTCTAGTGCTGCAAAAACAGTCCTGCAACTCCTACCAGGCTGGATCTTGACTGCTCTGTGTGAAGGAGGAATAGATCAGTGAATGAGTATCCTCCAACTTCTCTAGATTTTACTTGTGACTTTACAAGTGAAGTGGGACCTGTGTAAGACTTGAGTTCACTGACCAGTTGTAAAGCCAGTGTAGACACAACAGGCAAAGGATTGGCAAGAAGAAGGGTAAAACTTTCCTGCTGTGACAGTAGTTGACATTAGCAGTGAGTAGTGAGGTAATCAATTTTAAATGCTCCATAAACGTGCTTACTTGCCATTTCGTGGCACCACAGACCATGCATACAAGAATCTATATAAAGAACTGAACATACCATTAAACTTAATTACTATAGTGACAGTAGTTCACGTAAAATAGAAGAGCTGGATAAAATGATATGGCCCTGCCTACTATGATTTATTTTCCAGGTTTTAGATGTATGCTCTGAGATAAATGATGTAAATAGTACTTGTTCTGCTCTAATACAAATCCCAAGTCTCTGGAGCACATGGCCATAAAATCTGTTTCAATATTTGAACAGAATTTTTCAGGATGATAAATACATTATTTCCACTATCTCTCTTCTGCCTCTAAGCCCTCCGATAGACCCTTTGTTGTGTTCTAATTCTCATGTCTTCTTTTTGTTTAACAACAATTACTGTTTGAATGTGACCTGTGTTTGGTTGAAGGATCTCCCAGCTATGAAGTAAATGGTTGGCTACACTGAACCTTGAGTGTGTAATGGAATATATACACAAAGGACTCTGCCTTGGAAGAGGAACAGGAAGTGTTCTGAGAGAATGGAAGGTTTTACTAAAGTACAAATTTTCCATATTAGGATCTTGTCTGACTATAATGTGGAAGGACAAACCTGGAGGATTTTTGCTTTCTAAGACATTTGATCTCTGCTCACCCAATAGGATAACTACTAATGACTTGAAGCCCACCTGGGTAGTCCTAGCTAATAAGGGACTCTAGTTAATTAGGAGCACCAATAGGAAGTAGTTTACAGGTTCTTTCCAGTAGTCTCTTGTTCTGCTCTAGAGAGTTGTAAGGAGAACCACAAGCCATTCCATGGTGAATGTAGGAGCCACTGTCCCCAGACCAGGAAGAGCAGGTTAACTGAGCTGTCAGAGCTGCTTGGACAGGGATGAGCCATGAGCCAGACAGGTTCTGTTGTTCTTTGTAGTGACCTGGGTAGTGGTCCTTGGCCTCTGAGCTTTGTTGAGTGTTGATTCCCTGGCGAGGAGGAGGCTCTGCCATCCTGGCATGGGAGACTATGAGCTTGTAATATTGTTTTAATCAGTGTGGTAAAGCCTTTGCATGGCACAGTCATCTTCAAAGTCATGAAAGAGGCCATACTGGAGAGAAAACCCTATGAAAATAATCAATGTGTTTAAAGCCTTTGCCTTTCATAGTAATCTCTGAAAACTTAAAAGAACCCATAATGTAGAGAAATATTATGTATGTAATTAGTGTGGTAAAGGTTTTGTTTAACATATTCATCTTCAAAGACATGAACTAACAAATGCTGGAGCTTCAGTCATAGCCAGACTTCTCAACAGTCAGGATTTCTTTCTCCTCATAGCTGTAGATATCAGGATACTTTCCCTCCACAGCTTCAGTTATAGCCAGACTTCTCAACAGTCAGGATTCCTTTCTCCTCATAGCTTTAGGTATCCAGGATATCTTTTCTCCACAGCTTCAGGAGTAGCCTGACTTAATAACAGTCAGGGTAGCTTTCCTAGCAGATGTAGATATCCAGGATTGCAGTTGAAGACTGCTCAGGCAGTGTCCATAGCCATCTAGACCCAAAAAGTCACACTGAAAATATACTAATGATAATGCTGGCACGTTAGAATGGCTCAGAATAGCTGTTGATTTAAGAACATAGTATGGATAGCTGACTTTCCCATAACATTTTTAAAATTTGTGTTCTATGTCCTTTGTATGTTAGAGGATTGTGGCATCAATACATGTTGTAATAGGAGCAGCGGGCTATGTTCCTGGCACCCGGCCGCCCACACGGCTAGCTTTATGCCTGAAATAATTACACGGAAACTGTATTCTTTTAAACAATGCCTGGCCCATTAGCTTTAGCCTCTTACTGGCTAGCTCTCACATCTTGCTTTAACCCATTTCTAATAATGTGGGTAGCCCCACGAGGTGTGGCTTATCAGGAAAGATCTTAACTTGCATCTGTCTGGAGTGGGAGAATCATGGCTACTGACTGACTCAGCTTCTTTCTCCCAGCATTCTGTTCTCTTTACTCCGCCTATCTAAATTCTACCCTATCAGAGGGCCAAGCAGTTTCTTTATTAATTAACCAATGAAAGCAACAAATAGATACAAGACCCACCTCCATCAAATACATCTTTTAAATGTATCTTTTAGATCATATATTAAGATCTATTTATCTTTTAAATCATACGTTATAATATATTTTTAATTTGATACTAATGCATGATCTAAAAGATAGTTTTGTTCTGTAAATCTCCATCTGCCTAAGTGTCTATACTTGCATTCTCCTGTCCCTATTTAAACTGTTCAATGTATAACCTCAGGCAGGCCTGAACTCAAAAAAAGACTTAAGGATGGCAGCGTATGTGGAATGCAAAATCTGGGCCAGGTTGTCTCCCTTTTTAACATTAACCACCACTGATTGCATACTTTTATTAAAGGAATTTGTGTCTCTTAAACTATAAGTGTGTGAATGATTTATCCCTGGGAAGGCATATTAATTCTAGAATAGCAGTACCTTCAGCATTGTAGAAAAATGTTTCGGAGACAAACATTTTTATGTTAGATCAGGTAGCCTTGATCCCACCCCATTGCTCCCCAGAGCAATGACCTGTTGTCCTTGTTATTAAACTAACAAAATTCTTAGATTAAAGAACTCAACCATCACTGAGCTTTAAAATTAAAAATTTGAGTCATGTAGTCAAATGTCTGTTTCACTAACAGGGAAAGGATTTGTATGTGAAGCCTGGGTTCCACCTTCAGACCAGAATAGGAGGAATAGTTTATTGCATACATAGTAGGTATGCAAACAGCTGCTGGAGTCACCATTATGAAATAGGACCCGATTGTGACAGAATTAGTGATTTTTGTAATTTCCCAGCATGTGTTAATCTATGTTATGCATATGAATGCAGGCTAGATTTTGGGTATAGAATTCTGGAAGGTTGGCTTGAGTCAATAAATATTGACTTTCTAACAAGGGAACTCTCCTACGCTTATATGTCCAATCCTGCCTGTCATGATTATATCCATTAGCTGTAGCTGTGTGTTTCAGGTCACAGGTCTCAGCAGCTAACATTGCACATAGGGGAATGGTGAAGTAATACCTTTTTAATGTCAGTCTCTCTGCCAGGGAATGTTTTTCTCTTGTTCAAAGTCAGTATAACTGTGTGCTTTTAAATTATATTTATGTTTTTAAAAAAGATAATTGCTATTTTTACTTTTTAAATTTTATTTACTTTACATGCATCACTGCTCTAATTTATTTGTTTCTATTCCTTATTGTTTTCAGCTCATTAAGAATTTCTTTCCATTTTTCTCAAATGCTGTTGATTATTTATTTCTGTCTCCTGTGGCTTTGGCTTACCTCACACTACGTAGTTGAGAATTGCTTTGAACACCTAATCCTGCTTCTGCTGTCCAGAAAGCAAGTTCTGCAAGTGTTTCAAGACTGGGCCTTAACCTCTCAGTGAGAAGGATAATATATGAGTAAATGAGTATCCTCCAGCTTCTCTGGATTTTATTGTGAACTGGCAAATAAAGAGGGACCCATGTAAGAATTGAGTTCACTGACAAACTGTAAAGCAGGTGTAGTACCAGCACAGAAAGGGATGGGCAAGAAAGAACATGAAAGTTTTCCTTCTCTAGACCATAGCTTACATTAGAAATAAGCAGTGAGGTAATCAATTTTAGACGATTATTAAATGTTCTGA